TTTTAAACATTTTAAGTAATATAAGTGCGCTAAGAAATGAGTTGGCTTTGTTTAACAGTTCTAGAGATGAGTCAATAAAATCATTTCAAAATAAAGACTAATATCATATTTTGAAAATCAAAAATCCTAGTCATTCAAAAAAGAGTATGAATGAAAAGACATTTTAAGTTACGAAATCAGACAAAAATACATACTTTCTCTGAATCGGTCAAATAGCCTTTGAGAAATCAAATTTCTTTTAAATTTGATAAATTGAAAATTATTTGACCTGTTGCGCTCGAATTTTGCATTTTGCCACTTATAATTACATTTCTTTAAAACGATGTAAAAATTAATGTATTTTATTACAATTCAAAATGTTTTCCACAATCATTATATAAAAAAAATAAATGATGATTGTTAAAAATTTGCGCGGGATTATCTTTGGACAAACAAATTTCATTGATGTCAGCAAAAATGTTTCATTTCGCTAAAAAAGTTCTCAAAATATTGCTAAATATACAAAAGTTTACATTAAGTGTCCCTAACTTTCTGCTACACTCCTAACCAAACTATTGGGACCATATTTTCCAGATTGCGGTCACTCCCCCCTTCCATGTTTTGACATTCAAAAATCCGAATCCGTTGACAAAAAGGTATGCCTTTTGTGTTTGGATTCGTAACTAAAATATCGTCTGCATGGATTAATTAGAATATTAAAATTAATAACATTAAAATTGCCTCTTAGCACATAAAAATCCGATAGCTAGATCAACATTTATTCTGTTGCTGTGTTTTTTTATTTTATGTTCAGATAGTAAGGAGTTTAATCAATTAAAAAATTTATGTCAATCAAAAAAAAACTTATAATCCTTTGTCCGTAGCGTCGATGAACCACAATGCGCGAAACCGCAACCTTTTAATCGAACAAAACAGCCAGTGTTTATGAGACGCGTTTGTATTTTGGGTCAGTTGACGCGCAATTATCGTCTAACTAATGCTCCATGATTCGAACTTATTGATTGCTGCTTAAATATAATTTTGTAAAATGTGTTCATGGCTGAAATTCTAAGCAGAATTTGTTGTTATAGAAAAAGTCTTAACAAGGAAGGGTTTAAGTAAGGTCGCATCCTCGCTAGAATTAAGGGCGATCGTAATTACGCGACCTGCTAAATTTTGTAAAATATTTGGAACGCAAATTACTACACGTAGTATTATAATCTCTTCTTCACTTTTTTTTAAATAAAATAAAAATTAGACTAAAACATAAAATGCTTGTTTTTCGAGTGTGTTTTGTTGTTTATTATTTCAATTCCCAACACTTTCTTTAGCAATTTTTAATCAAAATCGGATTGTTTCAAAAGAAAAGAGTGTTCTTTTTATTACTGTTCCAATAATTACACAGTTTTACGAAATCAAATCAGCATTAAATTAATCACTCATTTCAAACTTTTCCGAAACCAGATATGAAAAAAAACATGACGAAAGTTTGAACAATTGTAAGAAATAAATACATTATATTTTTCCTTAAAAATACACCATTTCTTTAAGAAGAGAAAAATTATAAAGGTAAAATCTGAACTCTCAGGAGGCACAATAATCAATTCCTGCAGAAAATATCAACGGAAGATTAAGCAATTTATTAATAAACTGAATTACAAGTTTTGATTTGAACCAGACTATAATATTCTTGAAAGATAAGTAACATTTGCTAATTTCACTGTGTGCTCAATAGCTATTATTATTATTGTTGTTGCTGTTGTTCTCGTTGCTATTATTATTATTTGTGTTATGAAACATTGTGCTTTTTCTTAGAGGTGTACTTATATAATATCATTTTTCATAAATTGAGTTCGGAATTTTCAATAACAAAATTCTATAGGGGAATATAAAGTTTTTAATGTTTCTCACATTTTAAAACTTCATTTATTACCAATGGTAAAGTAATAAAAAAAAAATTTATAAAAACCACGTTTTTCAAATGGGCTAAATTAGAAAAGGTAATTTCATTTTAATTGCACTTGAAAATAAAAATAAGGAGCGCATCACTTTAGAAAAATACGAGGAAATTTAAGTTGGTGATAAAAATTCCACGTTTTTCTGTTTAAATCCGTCAAAAAAAATTATTATCTTTTATCTTATTTTAGTCCATTTGAAAAATTTGGTTTTTTAAAGGCTTTTACAATTTATATTTGTTCAATTTAAATTTATAGTTATAATATATGTCATAACAAAAATTTATTTGCTTGTAGCGGTCAGGAATCGATTAACACTTGTATTGTCCCCTAACACAGAGGTCCAGTTGAATTAGAGCCCTAAAGGCAGTTAGAAAAAGTGATCAACACATTATTTCGATATGATAAATTTTTTCGTTATGATTAACACTATAGTTGATAAATTCTGCTTGTAACACTCATTATAACAATTGAAACTTGTATTGATATCCGGAACTAAAATCATGGTGAAATTCGAGCACTCTAGCTAATCGGAATCAAAATTTTAATTACAAACGTTTTCTCTCGCAAGCAAATAAATTGGACACGAAAGTTAATATAGTAAAACGCGTTAAAAAAATTTAACAAATTGATAATGTTGCCAAAATTTTACTGCGTCCGTGAATATTATTTTTGAGTTGAGAAACTTCGTGTTTATCATAGAGATTTACATGTCTTATAATGACAATGAACTGAATTATTTTCAGGCTTCTTCAAGTACGGTTGATGGGGGCAGAGACCCTTTATATGATCCTTCACTTACTTTCCTCATTTATGATTCTCTTTCCTCATTTATCTTCATGTTTGATTAAAATTTATTTTGGCCATAAAAAGTCCATAAATTCTGTTTGTAGCAGTCAGAAGATGATTGAAACGTGTATTGTTATCCAGAATAAAACTAAAGATAAAGTGTAAGCTGTTTAACTACTTGCACGGAGAAAAAGTATCTAAAAAAATTAATCGACACTGTTTCTGATTTATGTTTTTTTTTTCTTCTTCTTCTTTTTTTTTTATCTCGACACAAGCCTAAAAGTTTCTGAACAAAGGTTTTAAGAATTCTGGTAAAATTACCGTACTATATGGTAATGATATTTCAGGTAAAAAAGTTATAATTCTTGTAATAAAAGCACTAAAACCTACTGTATTTAAACCATTTACTTGGTAAATCTTCCATTCATATGGTAAATGCTTACTTAAATTCTGATTTTCAAAATCATAACTCTTATTACCACATATATAGTAAGGCTCAGGGGATAGAGCGTTCGTCTTCCCATGAGGTAAACCTGGTTCGAATCCCAGCAATGACTGGTCGAAACGAAATCCTCATCCGGCTTGCACCGACCACTGTGCTGACGTGAAATATCCACAGTGGTAGACGGATCATGGGTAAGAGTCCCCTTGCCGTCAGCCTAACTGTGGAAGATTTTCGTGGAGTCCCTCTTCATATAAAGCAAATGCTGGTTATTTCCATCAAAAAGTCCTCCACGAAGGCAAATTTCTCTCAATACTTGATCTAGAAGTTCCCTTGTCTTCTTGATTGGATTCAAAATTACTAGTTGAACATTGTCTCAAACCCAAAAATTGGGTCGGATATTCAACTACGGTTACAAGATAATTTCTGTTGGTAACTTGCATAGATAAACTTGAAAAGCTTGCACTGTCGTTCAGCAAAGAGTTCAAATTGATCTTTGAGCTCCTTTGCTAGCCAGAAAGTGGTCAAAATTTCCGTTTCAAACAAAATCGAACCAAAAAAACGTTAAGTAAAAGTTGTTATAAAAGTTTACAATGTTTCCATATTTTATTATGTCCACGAATACTACAATCTTTTAAGTTAAGAAACATCGTGCTTATCATAGGGATTTACAAGTCTTATTAATGACAATGAACTGAATTATTTTCAGACTTCTTCAAGTACCGTTAATGAGACAGTGACTCTTAATCTTAGCCTTCGCTTGCTTTGCTCATTTATGATTATCTCGCTACATTTATCTTCATTTTCTTCACAGTACAATAACAGGATTTTTCCCCCTTTGTTTGATAAATGGTAACACTACCGCAGATTTTTTTTTTAATAATAATAAAAAAAGAAGAGAAAAAAGTTTATTAATCGATTCATTCAAGCGTCTTATATTCACGTTTAATGCACGTGATAATGCTGACGTAAATTATCCGTTCACTATCGTTCTATACCTCTTAATTTATGTTATTTACAGAAATAGTCATAATGAAACTGTACGAACTTAAGGTGATCCACCCCTGTTGTTAGTCATTTTGTTTCATGCAACTTTTATTCAGTACTATTTTTGGATCATTCAACAAACCTCAATCTTTTCTTATAGGCTACGTTTGTTTTTAATTAAACACTGCATGTATTTAAAAATCGTCAAAGTTTTTAAAAAACGCATTACATTTATTATTCAAAGATTTTGAATACCTGAATTATTTATGTCTTGTTCTATTGTTCATTATGAAAAAAATAAATGAGAAGACTAGCATTAAAAACCCCAGTTTTTTTTGTTTTTTATTTTCAAAAAAATTTTTTTATAAAAAAAATGTATTGGGGGGGATCTGAATCCATGACCCCNGGGATCTGAGTCTATGCCCCCCCCCCCAGGAAAAATTTCTGGATCCGCCCCTGCACTGTAAGACAACGGTGAATATGGTTTTCGTAATTTTTCGCTTTATATGTAACGTAAAAGAAGGTTACTTTTATTAAAAATAGAACGTTCGTCCTAAAACCTGGGTCGCAAGTTTCTTCATCGTCTGAGTTGGGCTGAAAATTTTAAAAAAAAAATAAAACTAATTAAAAGAATAAAATTAAAAAATCAAAAGAATGAAAGTTGTTGCTTCTAATCCCTCTCTTTAGTGAAACAAATGGAACTGAATGAAATCTTAAAGTATTATCAACATTTTTTTAAAAATTTATAGCGTACTTTATGGTGTTTTAATTGTACGCATTTCAGTTTTTAACTGCAATTAATGCTTCATTTATGTTTTCCCTTCATTTATGTCTTGTTTTTGTTACAGTTTCGGAAAACGGTCTGGGGGAAGTGGGAGAAGAGTCAACGAATGTTTGATTCTGGAACCTTCAGAAATGATTGTGGTAAGTTATTCTTTCCTTTATAATGCATTTGATGTAAAAAAAAAACAACTTAATTTTAAAGGAGCATTGAAATTAAGACATTTAAGTTTATGCTTTTGCCTTGAGATAATTATTTTTTGAGTAATTTTAATTTGTTTAAAAAAAATTGATTTTTGTGCTTGTGATACATAAAAACAATTGTAATCATATTTCCAGTGAGCAAAAATTTCTCAATCTTAATTTACACCCCATATACTCAATTTCATTCATGGGGCAAACATTAACGGACACCCATACGAGAAAATTTTATTTAAAAAAAATACTACTCAGTAAAAAAATTTGATATATTTTTATCACGATTTATAGAGTTCTGGTAAACAAAATACATTGTTTTAGTATAAAACTACAGTTATCGTCCGAAAAAGTACATAAAATTGACAAAATGACAATTGTTTGAAAGAATATATTACCAAAAAAAATGAACGGAAAAAAATATAATGCAAAAAAGGAAACGAAGCGAAATGTTTCTGCAATAAATTGTTCCCAATGCGTATGGAAATATGTGTAATCAGTAAATAAACAAACAAAAAAGGAATAAATAAATAAATAAAACTAAAATAGTTAAAAAAGCAAATAAAAATGTGACTGCATGCACTGTAAGAAATTTTAGTTAACCTCAATATCAAAAATGGCGGCAACTTAACACCAACATATTTTCTGGTGTACGAACTGTTTACTAAAAACTATTAACGCTATATATGTTTATTTAAAACAAATCATGCCTTATACAAAATCAAATAAAGCATGGCACACTTACACTTTCGTTTGATGACACACACGCAAAAAAAAATTTAGGACTTGTGTATATTTATTATCTAAAAAATATACAATAACAAATGAATATTAACGCATCTATTTTTCAGAACTCTTAAACCCCAATCATGTAAAAACCGCAATTACTAGAAACTTAATCAACTTTGACATTGAATCCTATAGATATGCTAGATGACTCACAGGTAATCCGGAAACCAGTGACATCAATTCTGTCAATTCCCACCCCCATCCCTGTGATTCGAACTCGTGTTATATTCTTTTTCCGCATATTAAACATTGAGGCCGGTGCGTATTTCCTCCCCATTGTTGTGAGTTGAACACGGTTTTGTGGTCACAATCGTCTACAGAGTGCGTTTTTACGAACGAGCTGTCGTGGGTGTTGTTCTGTTTTCTAGCTATTCGATATGTTTTTTGTAAAATAATTGTTGATGTTAGATTGCTATGAAGGAAATATACAAATACTTTTTTTACTGGAGAAATTTATAAACATGAAAAAAAAAATTTTTTTTTTTAAATTATGATTTTTAAAATTATGAAGCTTTAATTTGCCAAGACAAAAGTGATAGTATAATCTCCCCTTAATATATTATTAATGGGTAAAAAAATACTAAAATTGAATAAATGATAAAATATTTACAAAAAAAAGTACTCGGAAATAGTTACTCTCTAATTGAATCCAAATTTTGTATTCGAAAATGTTTTTAAACTTTAAACTTTAAAATCGCTTTTTTAAACTTTAAAATCATTTATTCAAGTTGAGTAAAAATATACTTAAATTGAATAAATTATATAATACTTACGAAAAAAGTAGTCGAAAAATTTTACTCGCCAATCGAATTCAAATTTTTTATTCGAAAATGTTTTTAAACTTATAAGAAAAAAAAATTGTCCATTTCGAAGTAGCTATAAAGTTATGGACTATTTCAACTGCTATTTCCACAAAAATTATGACGCCAATTTTTACTTGTCCTAAAAAGCCAAGTGCACGGTTGACTGTGAAAATTGCACTAAAGAAAGTATACTTGTCATTGAGGAGGGGGCATGGTAAAATATATATTCAATTTACTTTAAAACTTTTCACAATTGGCTAACTATTATTATAAAATGACTTTTATTCAAAAAATGTCATTAAATCACATATTTTATTTCAAAGCATTCAGATTTTCAGAAAATGATAGCAGACTCCCTTTCCTAATTTTCTACCGCGTAAATAATATTCCTGAAAATATTCCTGTTCCTGAAAACTGAAAATACGAAGTACCAGTACTTCCGACTATCTATTCATGATTTACCCTAAGAAATTATTGTAGACAAAATAAATAAATATTGAGAGTAAAGTACCACTTAGTCATGGTCAGGATTCATACCCGGGAAACCTAAACAAGCTAATTCACTAACCCCTGCACCATCCTGTTAAGCAGAGTGAACAATTTCAAAACAGGATAATAAGTACTTTAAAAAAATAGGCCGTGACCCCATAGTTGATTAAAAGAAAGCTGACATGACCCTACATCACTATTAATCTAGATTACTTTTCTCGTATAATTTTCTGTAACTGTTAAATAGTATAGCAAAAGTTACATTTTACTGTTATATTTACCTCAAAAATTTCCTGATTTTTGTTATAGAGTAAGTTGGTATTTAAAAAAACACGGAAAAAACTTTAAAAAGCAATTATATTTTAAATATTATTAAGTGTATTACGGACTTGCCAAATTGCGATATTATTCAATAAAAAAATACATAGAAAAAAACTATCAATGTTGAGCGTTTTATTTAAATCATAAATTCCTTTGTATTAATAATAAGTTTTTAAATATATTTATAATAATTCAGCCCAAAAAATTTTACTTGCTCGTTCGGCAAACTGTGAAGTAAAATGTTCCTTTGGATACATACATTTTAACTTAGTTGATGAGTGACGCTCGCTATGTTGATCTTGCTGTTCTAAAAAATTGCTAAATAAAATTACATTACACATTTGATTAAATAAGTATTGATTTTTAGACTCAAGAGTTTGTTAATGGCTCCGAAAATTGAGCACTCGCTCCCCAACGAGGTGATTCAGGTTCGAATCCCTGTGATGGCTTGTCAAATCGAAGTTTTGTAGCCCTAGTGGTTGGTGAATCATGGATTAAAATCCCCTTGCCATTGGTGTAACCGTGGGAAATTTTCGTGTACTCAAAAGTGGTACAGTTCCCTCAAAAAGTCCTACGCGAAGGCTAATTAGTCTCAGTGCTTAATCTGGGAGTTCCCTTGTCTTCTGGGTAATAAGTTCATTATTACAAGGCTCCGGAGTCGAACATTGATAGCTATAAGCCCAAAAAATGCGTCAGCAGTTCATCGATGGTCGTGATATGGAATAAAATTTTCAGGAAAGATTACGAAATCGCGGTGTGATAGCACGGTGGTTAAAGCACTAAGCTGACTTGTAAAGGACTGGAGCTCTATCTCTGGAGGCGGCTTTAAGTCCGCCCAGCTCCAGACCGATGAGTATCAGTTAGTTTGGCTCCAGTGAACAATGCTGTCCCATAATCACTATTATGTCTTTATTAACAAGCGATTACGGCGTCTTAGGCCGACAAACTGGCTGTTGTGGAAATGCTTTAGTTTGATTACGAAACCATACAAGTGGAAAAAATAATGAAATCTACACCACTTTAATAACTTTTTGATTTATTCATTTCGAAATCAACTGCGTTCAATTTAGGCGAACAACATATTCATGGATGGAATAAATTGAAATTATTCAGAGAATAACTTAACTTGTATTGATTTAATTCCACGCCAATGTTTGCGCGCTCTTCTTTGCTACACTTGACATCATCCAAGGAATCTTAAAGCCCCAGAGAAAGTCATCATATTCCCAAAATTCATATTCGCCTAAAGATACAACGATCGGGTTGTTGCTGTTGTACACATTAGTTTACCCGCCTATAGGCGATGCGCACGAGTGACTCATGAGCGCGTGCATCTATTAAGATTTAGGAAGTCTAGTTGTTGGAGGTGGAGGGGAGTTGGTAAAACCGCAATGAATTAGCGGGTACACCAGATCGGAATTTCCTGGCCATTTCATATTACGTTTGCGGGCCCACTTAGGCATGGTACCGCTTCGGATTTCCTTGTCCGATATAACTGAGGGCTATCAATTTGATAAACCGTACATGAGATAATTTGTCGATTCGCTACTGAACGTAGCTACTACAATTGAGTATTCCAAGCTCAGGCCCAAGGACTAAATTATGCTCTCTATGTGAAATTATAACTTATAATCCATATATATATATATATATATCGAAGCATTAATAAAGAATGATTGTGACGGAAAATCATTATCCACGATTTTGGGCCAAATAGAAGCGGACAGCATTCAAATTTTTCCAATGAAATTTTGTTCTTATTGAAACATCAAAAATTTTCCAGTGAATATGATTAGATATCATAATATATATTTATATCATAATAACAATTTTTATAATAGGTACAAATGTTATTACTAACAGCAAAAGAATTTCACTCCAAAACAAAAAAATTAAATTCCTTTTAAAAAAAGAAGGACAATTTTCTGAAACGAAAAAAATACATTTATAACGATAGAAGTGCAGCTTTCTGCGTAAAAGTAACATTGCGATATTATAGATTTATAAATGTTCATGTCTCCTCTGTTTACATTTGATCTTTCGACTAAAATTCGATATAGTTTGATACCTCTAGTAAAAGTTAATTTTATTTGATACTTCTACTAAAATTTAATTTCGTTTGATACTTCTACAAAAACTTGATTTCACTTGAAACTTTTTCAAATTGGTTTCCATTTAATACTTCTAAAATTGGATATCCATTCATACTCATTCTAAAATTTGATTCCATTTGATACTTTTACTAAAAATTGATTTCATTTGATACTTCTACTAGAAATTATACGATCGTTAATTGGAAGGATTTTAAACACAGGTATTGTTCATACTTAATGCAAGTGTATTATATTGTCAGCGATTACATAGTTGAAAACCTGATTTAATTTATTTTTTTTATAGTTCATAGTTAAAATTAGGAATATGAAAGAAAGTCTCTTGTTAGCAAGTTCTTGAGAATCTTTCTTAACAATTGAAGTATAACTTCCAACAAAAAAATAAATGATTTTGAGATAAAAGGAACAAAATTCATCAATTTGTAAACACAATTGC